TCTAATAAGGAAGCAAGCACAATACCATGAAATTCTTGCAAGATATTTAATTTTTGAAGCGATCCATATTCCTGGCTCAATGATCAAAGTGACAAAAGCCCGTGACATAAACATCATCAAGGGATAACCAAAATCATTCCACCCTATTATGGATAGCTCTATCAAGCGATGAAATGAGTATACTGTAATTTTTTTTCCTTCATCAAAAACTGTAGTGCTCACGGTCCAGCATGTAATGGTTAGTTGTTTGGCTACTGGCCAACAGTATTTGCACATCCAATCGAGCGAGACGTGCGTTATTTTTAAAATTAATCTCCAAATTGAAAGAATCATATCACATATCTCAGGGACTTTCTTTACGCATAAAATAATGTAATTACCTAACATTATTGAAATTGCTTCCGCACAGTCTAGTGAATAAAATACGAACAGCCTGAACACATCTAATGCTAATTTTAATGCTAGATACAGAATAGCGAAAGGAAGGAAGGGAATATAAAGTAATAGATTTCGATTAGCATGACCAATTTGTAAGGATCGAGGCTCATTTCCATGCTTTTTTCTTGAACGAGTAAAAAAGGCATTTCGAATGCGTCGCCATATTGGATATTCTCTGATAGCAACATACAGGTACAATATTATTATGATCAAGTAAACGATTCGTAAGATATACTTTGAAAACAGGTTCTCTTCTACTATGATATTTTCTATTATGGTATTTTCTTCTGTTATATTTTCTTCTGCCATTATAATTCTTATAAGTGTGAAGCGCCAAAATTTTAGCTTAGATATTTCTTAAGTTAATATTAACGTTAAATATAGTAAATGATTTCATGTACTGTACATTTGTACCACAGAAAATCTATGGAAAATGTCATTCACAAAATCCAGAAGTTACGGAGTATATTCACCGGAAATTCCCCACCGAATTATTGGTGGGGCCAAGACTGAGATCAAATTTCCAAATTTGAAAACAATTTAACGTAATGTTCTTAATCGCTCATAGCGTACGTATTATGAAAAAGCATTGGCGTTTATCTTGCACTTTAAAAGACTAAGAATGACTCATGAGCAAAATCAAATTTAGAACGCTATCTTTAAGAATA